TACACATTAACATTTTCTGAATTAACGTGGCATAGTGGCACCATCCTCTTGCTTTTAAAGACATATTAGACCTGACATAGGTTAACACATACGTATACCGTGTCGCAGTGCAACGAATTTATTATCTAACGGGTGTCTAGTAGTAGACACCTTCGATTTCTGTAGAAAAAGGGAGCTCTAATTCGATTAAAAATAAAATCCTCAAAAGCTTCTTAGAGCTTACTTTGCTTTAGAAATGCCTATATCAAATGGCATACATTTCAAAGGGAGGATCCAAAAGATAAACGTGAAACTTCTGCATTGGCATCAAATTTTGCAAATACCAGCAAGAGTTAAGAAAGTCCCTACATCTTCACCATCATGTTTTTTGGCCGTTTCTCCTTTCGGATCGCGGAGGCAGACGCGTCAGAGACTGATTCCAACGTTCCAGATCCAGAGCCAGAGTCTGAGCTTCGGCAGAAGACAACTGGAGTCTGTAGCAGACTCATTCCATATATTTAGCTAATCATGGCCATCGCCTGGGCCTTCTGCCGGTCGGCTCGGCAAGAAATAGTTGCTCGCCTTGCTCTCTGGAAATATATGTTGACACATACTCAAACCGTTGCAGTTGTAACTTCTGAATCTGAAGAAGCAGCGGCTGCACACTACGGCTCTCGCGGATGTCTGTATTCCGACGTGTAAGGCTAACGGCTAGATTCTGAAAGTCCATTTTAACCGTTTGTACCCGGGATCGAAGCTTTTAGTCATGGCCCACGACTCATGACTGTAGGTGATCATGGAGATGAAGATCGACTTGAATACCGAGAGCTTAGTCTGCAGATCTCAGCTCTGCTTTAGTCACAATTGTTCGAGCTAGTTCATGCAGAACTCCACTGGCTATTCCAATTCAACGGTCGATCAAATCTTCAAATTTTCCATTACCAGTAAACACGACACCGAGGTACTTGAACTTTACCTGCTCCACTACTTCTCCCTTAATTTGAATAGAACAACGGGCAAGAGAACGAGCAGATACTAGGCTTTTCGTTTTAGATGCGCTCACATGCATGCCGGCCACGTCGCACTCAGCTGCGAACCTTTCCAGAGAGCGCTTAAAGCAGTTTCAGTAATTCCTTACATTATGCTGGAAAATTAGTTACGAAAAAAACTTTAAAGTTAACGATTTCTCTCTCGTTTCACAATCGTATAAAATAACGGAATGTTGTTCAGCCGCATTAAATCTTATTGCAATCGAGATGAAAAGATCTGAAAAACATTTTTATCTACCTTGGCACATTCATAAATTAGAAACTAGGATCCGAAAAGCCAAAACCCAGGTGCAACTCTGTGGTTACCGAACCCAAGCCCTGATGAGAAAGCAGGAGGGCTGGAGACCTCGCGAAGTCTCCATAAAATTTAGCCACCTGATCCTCGTGGTACTGCGTCATCGAACATCATACTGGCTCGGACGTCGCCCGGGCCCCCAAGGGCCCAGCAGGCTGCTGGGAGACTTAAACTGGCTGCGAAAAGTCGACGATCATCACCACTTTCGGGTAGCAGAGAGCAACAGCAGCAGCACGACAGCGGCTGGTAAAGATCGACAAAACGACGACAAAGTTAACAATCAGGAACTGAAATACTACCCGTTCTGATCGGAGGAGACAGACAGCACAATGCCACGGGAACGACACCGCCAGTAGTAGACTACAGTGGAAATTGTAGCATTTTCTCGCTCAGAAGGAAAGATGAAGAGCTAGCTGATGTGGCTGCAAGGTGCCAACTCGACATTATTGGATTCTCGACAACGAAGCGCCAAGGCTCTGGAATTCTGAGCCTTTGCGGGTGGAAGATGTTCTACTCAGACGACGACATCAAGATGCACGATCAGGCCGGTGTTGGTGTTCTCGAAAAACCCGAACATGGCGGATAGAATCATTGAATGAAAGCCTGAGTGCGGAAAAAGGGCAATCCCTTGACTGAAACAACAATAGCCTAAAGCACTGATTTTTTGCAGGTCTATGTGCCCAATCTAGAGAGAGAATGTGAGTCTTTGAGGAAGTGAACTGTGCCCTGTACGAAGTGCTGACTAAGGAATCCATCATTCAAATGGGAGATTTTAAACACATGTCGGAGCAGACACTGAAAAGTGGAAAGGACTAATTGGAAAGAACCGTCATGGTGAATTCAACAATAACCACATGAAGTTGTTGCGCTTTTGTGCAAACAATGGACTGTCCATTATGAATACCTTCTGCGAGCATCCAAACTATATCACGTACAGGGAAACTTGTGCAAAGTATTTGATAATCGATTTGAAGATCGTATCGTCTGATCTGCGACGCTCTGTAATGGATATTCGTGTTAAGAGAGGCATCGAGCTATCAACTGACCACCACTCTGTTTTTGGCATGCTACGCTGTGAGAAATGGAGTACCATGTGACGATCTGGTGGCAGAAGCAACCAGAGAATCTTCTGCAGATGCGACGGCAAAACTGGCAAATGAGATCATAAGAAAGGTTGAACAGACCCAGATGATGACTGTTGATCTGAAAACCGAGTGTGAACTCTTCCAGAGCGCCTAACTTTGGGCTGCCGCCGAATGCAGCAGATTCAAAAGGGTTTGTCTGAGTTCCGGATGATAAAAAAGAACTTCCTGGTGGGCACGAGAAATACAACTGCCAGTCAGTGAGAAGAAGACTTCCGCAGAATTCAAGAAATGGCTTGGAAATAAAGAGTATTAAACTCGCACGTGGTATACATAAGCGCGGAACGCGGCAGCGAAAGCAGTCGCGAAAACCAAAAATGATTTCTAGGAGACGTTCGGTGAGGTGTTGAAGTCGAATTTCTAGACGGCAAACAAGGTATTTTGGCAGACCGTTCATTGGCTCCAAGGTGAAAAAAAGGGCAGTCCAAGAGTCCTGAGAAACAGGTCTGGAACCCTCTTACCGAGGATTCGGATATTCTTTGGCAGTGGAGAGAGCAATTTGATGGAGGGACTCCTCATCCCCGAGCAACCACAGGAAGACTCGTCTGTAGAGCAGAAAGGAACGGATATTACTGTTTCTTTAAATGAAATCACCTAAGCTATGAAAAATTTGAAAAGTGTAAAGGCAGCTGGAATTGATTAAATCTGCTCTGAAATGGTCA